CCAGCCAGCCGCATTTCCTCCTTGCCCTGCAGTGTGGCCCCGCCTGAGTCCCGCCAGGCACCCCTGAGCCGCTCCTCCGTTGTGCTGTCTGAGTTCGCCTCCGCTGAGATGAGCCTGCATGCCATTTACATGCACGAGGTGAGTGGCTAGGCTGGGGGGTGGGGGGGGAGGGGGAGGGAGGGGGTGTTATCCGGGGCCCTAGCAGTGAGAGAGGGGCAGAGGGCGTGGTGGGTCTGACGGCCTCCCTCTTTTGCTCCCGTCCAGCTTCACCAACAACAGCAGCAGCAGCCCCCACATCCGCCGGCACCGGGCCCGGCTCCGTTCCAGAGTTCAGCACAAGCACAAGCAGGTCAGAGCTTGGGAGGGCAGGACGAGGCGGGGTCCGGGCAGGGCTGCCCGTGGGGAAGCCATCTTCCCTCCCCACCGTGGCCTGCAGAGTCTGAGGCTGGTCCCCCTGGCTCCGGCTGACTCCCTGCTGCTCTCCTGGGGCTCAGGAGGAAAGCTGGTGCCCGCGGCTGAGACTTTGGCCTGGGTTGCCCTGGGCACCTCCTGCGCACAAACCCGGTGCTCTGCCGCTGAGCCTGGGCCGGAGATGTGCCATATCTGGAGACCCTTTTTTGGGGAGGGACAGAAAATTGGGGGAGATTTCCTGCCAGACCTGTTTCACTGCTCTTAACAACGTAATCGTTTATGAATGGACTTAGTTGGCACATGTAATCGTACTAATTGTCACCTGAATGGGATATAAAAGTGTCAATGCCTTAGCAAATCTGTCCACTGCCGAAGGGACAGGTGTGGGCAGAAAGGGGGTCCTTCCGAAAGGGGGTGGGGGGAAGGGGTGCTGTTATTTCTGCAGTGCTTCCTCAGCCACCTTCACGCAATACGTTTTGTGTAAATAAAAAGCATTCCATTCCTTTCAAAAGAAAAAACATATGAGTTTTAGTGCTCCTGAAACTTCCTCACTTTCCCCACTGGATGTTGGGGGGTGGGGGGAGTCCTAGGAGGGTGTCATCCCCCCCCCCCAGGTTTCTTCCTTTTTTCTGGCAGACTTTGGCGTGTCTCGGCTGGGCCCTTCCCCAGAAAGGCATGAAGGGTGGGGGGAGGGCTGGAGTGTGCTGCCACACAGCTAACACGGAACTCTGAATCCACCAGTGTCGAGAGCCAGCTTGGTTGTCATGGTTAAGTGCGCGGACTCTAATCTGGGAGAACCGGGGTTGATTCCCCACTCCTGCAGCTGCTGGATGACCTTGGGCAGGCCACAGTTCTGTCAGAGCTGTTCTCATGAGCAGTCCTTGAAAGAGCTCTCTCAGCCCCACCTCCCTCACTCCATGAAATTGCTGAGCGGTTGGGTTAGAACGGATAAAAGGAAGTACTTCTTCACCCAAAGTGTGATGAACACATGGAATTCACTGCCACAGGAAGTGGTGGCGGCTATAAGCATGGACGGCTTCAAAAGGGAATTAGATAAGCATATGGAGCAGAGGTCCATCAGTGGCTATTAGCCACAAGGTATAGATAGGGGCTCTGGGGCAAGGGATGCTCTGTCTTCTTGGTATTTTTTTTTGGGGGGGGGAGCAACAGTGGGAGAGCTTCTAGTGTCCTGGCCCCACTGGTGGACCTCCTGATGGCACCTGGTATTTCTGGCCACTGTGTGACAGAGTGTTGGACTAGATGGGCCTTTGGCCTGATCCAACATTGGCGTCTCTTATGATCTTATGGGGTGTCTGTTGTGGGGAGGGGAAGGGAAAGGAGTCTGTAAGCCGCTCTGAGACTGGTTGAAGGGCAAGGGAAATAAATCCAATCTCCTCTTCTTCTGTGTCTCACTTGGCGTCTTTTCCTTCTCCTGCCTGCAGCTTCCACGAGGCCTTCGCGGGCGTACAGCCAGGACCTGCCCCTCGGGGGCTGGGAGGAGGAGGAGGCGGCAGCCATGGAGGCCTCTCAGCAGGAGAGGGAGAAGCACTAGCCCCCCCCCCCGGACTCCTTCCTTCCCTGCCTCTCAGTGTAAGTGCCCCTTGCCCGCCTTGCCATCTGGCTGCAGCAGGGCCCGAGCCCCCAGACCTCGTCAGCAGCCGACTCCCACGGAAGGGCGCAGCTCTGCCTCGGAAGGCCCCCCCCACTCTCTGTGGTTTTCTTCCACGTCTTTCGGTGGCCTCTCAAACCCGCAAAGGCGTGTTCACCCTGGTTTGCGCCGCTCCTCCTCCTCCATTTTTCTCCCATGGAAGGAGAAAAATGGCCCAGCCAGAGGGATTGCTGCCGGCCTCTTCCACCCCATTCCCACGGCGTGGCTGGAAACTGCAGGTCCTTTCCCCCTCTTCCCACAGGGAGTTTTACCTCTCCTCCTCCCAGGAGGGAGTCGTCCTCTGCTGAGGGGTCAGCCGGAGCCCCTGGCCTTGCCCGTGAGGAGGGGCTCCAGGTGGGCCAGGCCCAACTTCTCCCATCACGGAGACCTCTCCTCTGGATCCCAGTGTCAGGAGGTGATACCAGGGGAAGGCCTCGGCCTCCGTGCCCCCTTGCTGGCCCTCCAGAGGGACTGGCCGGCCGCTGTTCGGGCCGGGTGCTGCACTAGAGGGACCCTGACTGGTTTTCCGATGGAGCCGGGCTCCGCTGGTGTCCTTCTGTTTCTTAGCTAGGCAGCTTCTCTTGCTTGCTGCCTGTGGGATTTTGAGGTCACTGCCCTTAAGCAGGGGAAGTCGCCCAGAGCCAGCTGCCCCTCCCTGCCCCGGTCCCCTCACGCCGTTGCCTTTTTGGTGTAGTGAGCCAGTTTGGTGTCATGGTTAAGTGCGTGGACTCTAATCCAGGAGGACCGGGTTTGATTCCCCACTCCTCCTCCACTTGTACCTGCTGGATGACCTCGGGCAAGCCATATAGTTCTCCCAGAGCTGTTCCTGAAAGAACAGTCCTCGAAAGAGCTCTCTCAGCCCCACCTAACCCACAGGGTGTCTGTCTGTTGTGAGGAGGGGAAAGGAAAAGGGTTTGTAAGCCGCTCTGGGACTCCTTCGGGTAGTGAAGGGCCATGGGGTATGAATCCAATCTCCTCCTCTTCTTTTTGCCTTTCCAGATTTCCGGGCACTTGGATGTTGCCAGCACTGCCTTGCCAGGACCGTCCCGTCTGCTGCAGGAACACGGCGACACACGGCGGTGCAGCTGGGGCCAACATCGTCCTAGCGGGTTGCAGCTGCCCCTGCTGCCTCAGCTGTGGGTGTGGCCAGGAGAAGGGCGGGGCCCGTGTGGATGCTGGGCCCCCTCTCGCTTTGGGTGTGTGCCCCCCTCGGGGGTGAATAAGCTACGGGCTGGACAGGCCCTGCCACGGTGCTACTTGTATTTATATGGGGTTCCTGTGGTCGCTGCAAAATGGCTTTGGGCAGGGGGTGGCGGTGGTGGTGGCTGAACACAGGAGGCTGCCTGCCATGGGCAGGGGGGGGCGCAGAGGCACACCTGGACCCCTCGCTTTGCCCCCCTCCCCCCACCCCCTTGGCTGCTGTATAATGCTGTCCCTTGTGCGGGAGCCCACTCCTCCGTGCCGAGCTGCTGACGCCACCCGGGGCGGGGCCCTGTGTGTTGTGGTGCCCCCACCCCAGGACTCTTCTGGGACAATAAATGTTTACAGGTGTGGCTGGCGGTGTGGTCCCTCTGCCTGGGCCGGGGGGCTACTGAAGAGCTGACCTACTTGGTCTTTGGGCATTTGGAGGATCCAGAAAAGGCCACCGGGGGTTCAGCTGGGTGCCAGGGGGGAGGGGGAGGAGGAGGAGGAGGCAGCAGAAAAGGGGGTGATGGTCCAGCCGCCTCCCCCTCCGCAACTTGAACTGAGGCCGATGCTCTGGCTTTGTTTCCTGGGGGATGACAGTGATGCATGCCCCAATCTGGCCACTGGGGGGGGGGCTCCCACACCGGCACCAGAGCAGGCCAAAGGCACTGTTGTGTGTGTGTGGGGAGGCGGTATCACTCCCCCACTGGGGCTTGGTCAGAAATGAGAAGGTGTGAATTGGGTGGAGCTCTGTGACTTCTCCACTGTACTGGGGGGGGGGGGGGGGGGGTGATAGGCCTTATACAAAACCTAGGCCGGGTACCCCCCTCGGCCCCTACAGAAGAAGAGAGAAGAGATTGGATTCATACCCCATGGCCCTTCACTACCCGAAGGAGTCTCAGAGTGGCTTACAAACTCCTTTCCCTTCCCCTCCCCACAACAGACAGACACCCTGTGAGGTGGGTGGGGCTGAGAGAGCTCTTGACATAAACGGCTCTTTTTGAAGAACGGCTGTGCCAGAACTATGGCTTGCCCAAGGTCATCCAGCAGGTGCAAGTGAAGGAGGAGTGGGGGATCAAACCCAGTTCTCCCAGTCTGTGCACTTAACTACTACACCAAACTGGCTCTCAGAACACCTCCCCCAGCAGACCCCTTTTATTCCTCCATGGGCCAGTCTGTGAGCCCAGTGAGGCCTCTGCCCCATAGCACCCGCCCCACACACACCATTGCTTGAGGATCACAGCTAGCTGCAGAATTCTACGGTGAGGCCCCCACCCCTTGTTCAGAAGCCAGCTCTCAGTCCATGCTTTTGGGGGCAGGAGACACCATTCCCCTCACCCTGCCCCCCTTCCCCATTTCAAAGGTTCCAGGGGGGCTGTGTTCCAAGATGGCTCGTTCCCCCAAGCCTGGAGGCCCTCGGACTTGTCCTGACCCCCACCCCAACCCCCACGTACAGTACCGCTTGTGTTCTACTGAAATGCAAAAGGCTTTATTGAGGTGCAGTCTGCAAGGGGGGGGCAGGACTCAGGAGCGCAGACAGAGCAGCTGCTCACGGATCAGGGCCCAGCGCCATCTTCCGCACTTGGACAGAGAAGGACTGGCTGCGGATGCGCGAGGCCACCTCCTGGGCACGGAACGTCAGGCCGAAGATGTCCTCGTGGTAGTGGTTCTGGTCCTAGGGGATGGAGGCAAAAAGCCCTGGGTTGGGAGGGGGGAATACAGTAGCCCCCCCCCCCAAGCACTGCAGGATGCAGAATGGGTGGTTCTCCCCCACTCCTCCCCAGCCCATGACGGAAAAGAATTCCTCCCTTTCTCCTGGAAGCCCCAATCAGGTTTGCAGAAACAGCCCCTCTCCTTCCCTCCCTCCCCCCCAACCTCCGTCCACTTTTGCTGGCCAGTGGAGGGGGGGGCTGGCTGTGCCACGTATCAGGAATTCTCTGGGCCACTCAACTGTGACGCTTGTTTTCTCCACCTGCTCTCAGGTTGGCAGTGGACACACGGCCTTTGGCATCGCCCTGGACAGCAGGTCTCCCAGTCCCTTTCGGGTTGGTCTGTCGCCAGCCCCCTTCCCCCCCCCCCGTGCCATGTGCCGCTGGGCCATGCCCTTACCCGGAGCTCGCTGATGGCATCACCCGCCTCCGTTAGCGACATGTTCCCTTCCGTGGCCAGGATCTGCTGGACGGTTTGCAGGACCCCCGTGGCCATGGTGACATCGCCGCAGATGTACATGTGGCCGCCTCGTTGGCACAACACCTCCCAGACCTGCCCTGCCAGCTGCGTCCTCAACAAGTCTTGCACGTAGGTCTGGGGGGGTGGGGGGGAAGGGGAGAGAAGCAGGGTGGTCCTAGGAGCCAAGGATGGGGTCCCTCCCCCAATCCATCAGCCCAGACCATGTGAGCTGATAACAGCCTCTCACTGAGCAACTGTGACCCGTCCACACCCATCCAGTCCCCCGATTTTACAAATTAACCGTTTTGCATATGCCTGCTAGTTCGGGGAGTATGTGGGAGAGAAATCTACACTGGTACTGTGAAGAAACGGACGCAGCAGGCGATGCAAGGTGGAGGCTAGTGGGGAGGGGAGGGGGTCCAGGCAAATACTCGTCCACCAGCCCTGTGGCAGGCCTAACTGTGGGAACACCCACGTCCTCTCTCTGTGCTGAACTCCCCCCTATGTGGTCTATGTCCAGAGAAGGGAGCCTTCTCCTGCAGGCTTGAGGAGGACTCCCTGGGTCTGCAGGAAAATGTGAAAATTCCTCTGAATTGAATGGAGGAGTTTAACCTCTCCTCCCACCCCTCCAAATGGGAGTTGGAGAACGGGGGGGGGGGAGCAGGCAGTGGAGAAGGAGGAGGAGCAAGAACAGCTGGGGTCTCCCCACACACACACACACAGCTGCCTCTCCTTTGCAGGTGGGTGAAGAGGACTGGCAGCCACCCCCACACCTCTGCTGCCCGCCCCCCTCCCTCTTCACCACCATGGTGGCAGGGAAGGTGGGTTGTGCTGCCCACCCCGGGGTGTCCTGTCCCTCTCCCCCCCCTCTCCCGCTGCAGGGACCCCCACTTGCACCGGCGGCAAGGTGCCGGTATCCTGCCAGGTGGATGAAGCCCTCAGTGGCCAGCTGACCACCCTAGTTCTCCCCGGGAGAAGGCGGTGAGGACTCGGCTGACGGCCCCCTTCTGCTGGGCCTCCTGGATCTCCTCCTTGTAGATCTGGTCGTGGCGGGAGCAGCGGCAGCCAAAGACGAGGGTCATCTCGCTGGGGAGGAGGCCTGCGAGGGCACAAGGCGGGGGCAGCCGGGACTCAGCACCGCTCCCCCCCCACGCACACCCCCCCTGGGGCTGGCCCACCATGCCTGCCTGCCTGCCTTCCGCCACCCCCCACCCCATGCCAGCTCTCTGCCCTACCTTGGGACTCCAAGAGGTGCAGCCGGTGTTGCCAGAAACTCCGGAAGGGGGCAATGCCAGTGCCAGGCCCCACGAGGATGCAGGGGGCTGATGGGTCTTCTGGCAAGCGGAAGTTTGGGGCCCTGCGTGGGACAAGCAAAGAGGCTGAGGGAGCGACCCAAGCCAGAGCCCACAGGCGGGGGGCTCTGGGTGCAGCTCAGCATTGCACCCGCCTGGCCACAGTGGGCACCCATCCATGATCTGTGGCACTGTCCAAAAAACAACTTTGCTTTCACCTTCCCAAGGCCAAGCCAGTGCCCCCCCCTCCCTCCCTCGTGGGCACAACATCCACGTCTCTTTGAAGAAGGACCCATACGGCACCCTCCTCAGCACCTTCCCTCAGCACTGCCTCCCTGGCCAGTGGCAATCACAGCCTCTGGGGACGGTATGGCCAGTGGGGGGAGGGGGACGGGCCCTGAACACGGCCCACACGGAGGGGAGGTTTAATGTTGTCATTAATAGATGCCCCCAACCACAAATGGGCTTCAGCATCTTCGGGGGGGGGAATCACTGGATTTTAAAACTACTTTTATAAGGGAGACACAGGAAGGGAAGAAAAAGTGGCAACCTGTAGCCCTGGCAGCAGGTGTACCAAAGTCTTCGGGAGCTAGGGAAGAAGAAGAGGAGAGTGGATTTATGCCCTGCCCTTCACTACCCAAAGGAGTCTCAGAGCGGCTTCCAAACCCCTCCCCCTCCCCACAACAGACAGACACCCCGTGAGGCAGGCGGGGCTGAGAGAACTCTGACAGAAACAGCTCTTTTTCAAGGACAGCTCTTATCAGAACTACGGCTTGCCCAAGGTCATCCAGCCAGGTGCAACTGGAGGAGTGGGGGATCAAACCCGGTTCTCCCAGATTAGAGTCCGCACACTTAACCACTACACCAGACTGAAGAACAGGAGGAGGAGGAGGAGATTGGCTTTATACCCCGCCCTTCACTACCCAAAGGAGTCTCAGAGCGGCTTACAAACTCCTTTCCCTTCCCCTCCCCACAACAGACAACCCCTGTGAGGTGGGTGGGGCCGAGAGAGCTCTGGACAGAAACTGCTCTTTTTAAGGACAGCTCTTATCAGAACTACGGCTTGCCCAAGGTCATCCAGCCAGGTGCAAGTGGAGGAGTGGGGAATCAAACCCGGTTCTCCCAGATTAGAGTCCACACACTTAACCACTACACCAAACTGGCTCCAGGGAAAGGAGTACAGATGTTCCACACCTGAGGTGCAAAAGCCAACCCCCCACCCATCTGAGCAAGGCTGAGAGCTGCCCAGGTGAAGTCTCAGGAGGGCAGCAGGGTGCTTTTGGCCGCCTTGTGACCCACAAGCAGCAAGAGCCAGCGTCCACGCCACCTGCCTTGGCTCCCAGCAACAAGAGCTAGGTTGGAGGCTACTGCAAGGGCACTGGAGGGAGCCGTTGGCATCATGCCGACAGGCTGAGATAAAACACGGCTGGTCTGACTCCCCCCCCCCCCCCGGCCCCCCCCCCCCGTCTAGTTGCGGAAAATGACAGGCGATGGGTCATTTCTCTCCCAAGCAGAGAGCACTCCAGGGCTCAGTTATGCAAATGGCCATAGCTAGAGTGGAACAAAAGGTTTCCCATCCAACATCTCAGCTAGATTGTCACAGACAGGCAGAGACTAGGAAACCCAAAATCGGCTAAATAATCATTCTTCCTCTTGATGCTGGAAAATCAGGACCCACCCCAGAGGGGGACAGACTCTCAAAGGGGAAATGATAAATTCTGAGATCACAAGGAAGAAATTCTAAAGCTTTTAGCCAAGTAGGCTTCAGCCATGAAGGACAAAACCTTTACATCTTGACCACATGCCAAGGAACAATGGGGAGAAGTCCCAATTCTGAAAACAACGATAACAGAGGAATCTGAGTGCTGCAAGTTCAAGATGTCCCAGCCTCCCCTAGCAACCAACTTCAAGACTCTCTAGCCTGTTCCTATTTATTAATTAATAATCCTAATGTTCCTAATTATTAATATTGACCATTTTAATTCTTGCAGCCTGATCACTGTAAGCACGCTACACCTATGTGGTCTTGCTATCCAAAGAGTGGTAAAGAGGATGGGCCGTGGGTGCGAAAGCTCAAAAGTGCCATCGATGGTTCCTGCAGGAACTAGTCCAAGCGAACGGGGAGATGTGGCAACTGGGTGGAGCCTTTAAATGGAAACCAGATACAGAATGCTAGATGTATAGACCCGTCTAGCAGGAGATACTCATTCAGATTCTGCAGGTTCATGGCCGGCAAAAGGAAAATGACAGGCGATGGGTCATTTCTCTCCCAAGCAGAGAGCACTCCAGGGCTCAGTTATGCAAATGGCCATAGCTAGAGTGGAACATGCCAAGGAACAATGGGGAGAAGTCCCAATTCTGAAAACAACGATAACAGAGGAATCTGAGTGCTGCAAGTTCAAGATGTCCCAGCCTCCCCTAGCAACCAACTTCAAGACTCTCTAGCCTGTTCCTATTTATTAATTAATATTCCTAATGTTCCTAATTATTAATATTGACCATTTTAATTCTTGCAGCCTGATCACTGTAAGCACGCTACACCTATGTGGTCTTGCTATCCAAAGAGTGGTAAAGAGGATGGGCCGTGGGTGCGAAAGCTCAAAAGTGCCATCGATGGTTCCTGCAGGAACTAGTCCAAGCGAACGGGGAGATGTGGCAACTGGGTGGAGCCTTTAAATGGAAACCAGATACAGAATGCTAGATGTATAGACCCGTCTAGCAGGAGATACTCATTCAGATTTGTAGCTGGCAGCAGTTACTACTTAGAGAGAGAGAGAGGTCTTACCCCTGGGAGTAAGGGAAAGGGGCGGTGGTGGCAGACCAGGGTGGGCATGGGCCTCTCCCGAGTCCCTGGGACCTGAGGCAACGGCGCTTGGGAGTCTGCTCCTTCGCAGATGCACTGTGTGAACGCCCTCCATCGAAAATTAAGAGTTTCTGCTGCCTGCTTTACAAAAGGCTCCTTCTAGAGGGCCCCTCGAGGGGAGGGGGCGTGCTATGGCCTGATCTCACCAAATCTTGGAAGCTAAGCAGGGTCCCTACTTGGAAGGGAGACCTCCCAGGAAGACCCTGCAGAGGAAGGCAAAGGCCCGCCACCTCTGCGGCTCACTTCAAGAAGAAGAAGAGGAAATTGGATTTATGCCCCGCCCTTCATTACCCAAAGGAGTCTCAGAGCGACTGACAAACTCCTCTCCCTCCCCACAACAGACACCCTGTGAGGTAGGCGGGGCTGAGAGAGCTCTGAGAGAAACTGCTCTTTTTCAAGGGCAGCTCTGGCAGAACTACGGCTTGCCCAAGGTCACATCAGCAGGTGCAAGTGGAGGAGGAGTGGGGAATCAAACCTGGTTCTCCCAGATTAGAGCCTGCGCACTCAACCACCACACCAAACTTGCCCTGAAAGCCCTTTCTGGGGCCGCCATAAGTCAGCTGTGACTTAATGACACTTTATGCAGAGAAAGAGAGAGAGAATCCACCAGAAGCAGATTTACAGGTCCTTGTGCAGTGGGTGTGGGTGCTGGGGGGGCTGTTCTTGCTGCCAACCAGCCAAGCTGGCAGAGAACAGGCCTCTGAGGCCGGAGGAAGAAGAAGAAAGAGATTGGATTTATACCCCATGGCCCTTCACTACCCAAGGGATTCTCAGAGCGGCTTACAAACTCCTTTTACCTTCCCCTCCCCACAACAGACATAAACCCTGGGAGGTCGGCGGGGCTGAGAGAGCTCTGAGAGAGAACTGCTCTTTTTCAAGGACAGCTCTTATCAGAACCATGGCTTGCCCAAGGTCACCCCGCCAGGTGCAAGTGGAGGAGGAGTGGGGAAATCGGACCCGGTTCTCCCAGATTAGAGTCCGCACACTCAACCACTTAACACCCAACTCTGAGGCCGAAGGAGGAGCCAAGCAGGAGGCCAGGACTGGTTCTTCTGCCAGAGGGAACATCCCCATTAAGGATGCCGTAAGCACGGCCGGGGGCACGGGCATGCCCGCCCTGCCGGTGCGTGAGTGGGGCTCCCAACCCCAGGTTGGGGGATTCCTGGAGATTTGGGGTAGTGCCCGGGGATGGCAGGGTTTGGGGGGATGCCACAGAGCCCACCCTCCAACAGAACCCCCGTTTCCTCCAGGGGAACCGATCCCCCGCAGTCTGGAGATCAGGTGCAGTTCTGTGAGAGCGCTGAGCCCTGCCCAGAGGTTGGCCACCCCATCTCTTAGGAAAGGGGTCCCTGAGCGGCCACCCCACCTGCCGTCTTGCATCACATGTGGCTACAGTTTCTGGAACGCCCTGCTCGCCCTGCACCGCTCACCAGCCAGCCGCCCTCATTCCAGCCCCGTTCCTCCCTCTGCTCTTTCACACCACCCATCATGACCCACATTCCAACTCCTTGAATAAACCTCCGCTGCTGCATGTGTTTCCCACAAATGTCCCATCCCCGCCCAGCTAAAGGACAAGCCGTCAGTCCAGACCACCGGCAAACGGTGTGTGTTGAGCCAGAGGTCATCCTGGGAATGGGTGACTCAGAGGAGCCCGGTGGCGCTCTACGCCTGCTGATGCGCTGCAGTGTGGACAGCTGCTCCGTCAGAGGCCTCCCTGGCCTCTCCATCATTTTGTTTGCCTCGCAATGATGCTTGTTTGGGTCTGGCAGTGAGTTTAGGAGTCAAAGCCTCACCTGCGTGCTCCACCTCTGCGAGGGAACAGACAAAGAGCCCTCCCTCGCACAGGGGACAGGCCCCTTCATGCCAATTCGGTTACTCGAGAACCGCTTGTTTCAGTGGCAGTGCAAGGTGTGTTCCCAGTGGCTTTCTTTCCCACAGCAGTTTACCTGAGTCTTCCTCATCATGGATCTGTGTGAGGGTGGGTGGGGGGTTTATTTTGAACTACAGGGGAGAATACTTGCCCCCCCTCTCCCCCCTGCAGACCACACCGGCTGCTTCCTGCCGGTGGGCCTGGGCCTCCCTCTCCCCCCTAAGGTTCCAGAGCTCACTGCCAAGCAGTCTTTGCATATGCAAGCAAGCAGATCCTCTGCCACTTTTGCTCTCGCAGGGTGGCTGCGTCTGCCTGGCACTGTGTGTGGGGGG